TTTTTTTTTTTTTAGACCACTGGATTTAATTTCATATTGGGCACAAAATTAAGTGTACAAAGTAGAAAGTGAACTTAACTTCTTCTCTACAGAGTTTAAAATCACAATACAAAACAGACATAAGAAAAATCGGCACTTTTTGAAACGACATGAGTTAAAAGAAGAAATGACTCGAAGAATAGTTAAATGATCGAATGCAGTGTAGTAGTTGCAAAAACTATCCGAAACAGGTTATTTTATTACACGTATCATTCATTACTCCGATAGAGACCTTACCAAAATACAAAAAAAAAAAAAAAAAATCGCAGATTCCATTTCTCGACGTTCTCGAGTAACTCGCCGTTTCGAATTTACAACAATGATATCGGCAGCGACTGCTTGTTCGGATGCTTTCGCAAGCAACGACACGATCGTAAATCGGCAAGAAGTATTATTCAACTCGAGCCGATAAATAATGTCGCGAGTCTGATAATCGGCCCCGGTGTCAAGGACGCATTCAAAAGCGAAAGAGCTTTTCGATTCACCTGCTGGACGCTTCGTTAAGCGGAGTTTAATTGCAGCGCGACCGAGAAGATCGTTGTCGCGCGTTTGTAAGCAGAAACGGCGGCCGATTCGATAGACACGGTCGATTATTTATCATCTCGGGAGAAATTATCTTAATTAATATCGTAATGGCGTGGCGATGGTGCGCGAACGTCGCATCACCGATTTTTCAATTAAACGTTGTCGGCGTTTAATGTTTTGGGAATCGCCGTTTTAATTTACTATAATAATCGAATGATGTCGAATTAACTTTATGTTCCCTTTCTTCTTGAAATTTGTTTAAGCTCTATTTGTAATTAGTTCGCTATTTTTATGGTATTGTGGATCTGTCGTATCCATTACTTTCAAGATCCAGGAAAAATTTGATGTCAATTTATTGCTCTTTTGAAAGATCAGCAGACCTTTTTCTCCGATGACAAATAGCAGTAATAGATTTAACAAAAGCATCGATACGTACAAATTCACTAGATAACTTTGAAACTTGACTTAATGATGGATAAAAGATCAGTTCCATCCAAGTTTTTCATAATGCTGCAAGTATATTCTTAGAACTCTTCATTCGTATCATAAAAATGTAAGTCTTGTAGAATTGTATTATATTTTTACCATTTGGCTACCCAAGAATTCAAATGGGACAGAATCAAAATATCCGCATATGTTTGATAATTTTGTATTTTGGAATTATGTATAATTTTGTTATTTAATTATCTAAGAATTTAAATAGAACGCGATGTCCGTGTTGGTGAAATTATTAGACTTAACTATCCTAGAGTTTAAACAGAGTAAAATTGAAACGTTCGCATTTGTAAAATTATTTAAAAATGCCACTTAAACTTAAAAACTTAGGTAGAGGTAATGTATTACATTTTACCTACCCAAGAGTTTAAATAAAAGATCAAAGATCAATTTAAACAAACTCCTTTCAAAAAACTTACTGTAAGCTGATGTTAAATTAGATCACAACGAGAAATAACAATTCTTAATAAATCGTTTCTATGCCGACGCGACAATATCGCGAAGTGTTCTCGTTCGAGGCGAGCCAGAAGCAGGGAAAATAAAAGGTAAAAGGGAATCGGTTTATATCTGCGGTGGCATTTTATGAACCGTAACCAGGAAACGAATTAAACGGCGGTGAAAAAAAGAAGAAAAAAAAAAGAGAAAAAAAAGAAAAAAGAATTGGCGAACCGGTTTTATATTAGAGAGTCGCTCTTTATACACCGGACAAAAAGACGCGGCCGCGCCGTGATTTATTCGTTCCGGCCGCGTTTCCCGTGAAATGGGAAAATTTATGGACACCGTGTCTACCTGGCGATTAGAATCGCATTTTTGCTCGCGTCGTGCTCGCCAATTGTCGGTGAATAAATGCGACTCTCAAGCAGCTGTCGATGGATTTCTTTCTTTTTTTTTGTTTCTTTTAGAGAGACAATGGTGACAGTCGTTTTGTAATTGAAGCGCCAGTCGTTTTTGTCGATCTCGAGGATAAAATAATGTGAAATGATACGGTAAGGTGCGTGCAAAGGACATGTATACAATCATGTATGTTTGTTACGTACCGTTGTGTGTCTGTCTTCTAGAAAACTCGTTCGAAAATTAGCGTGACAAATGGTGCTTCGTTGTAAAATATTGTTGCAAAACGATCGTTGTTATTATTGTTGAAGATGTAGTCTGCAGGAAGCAGAGAATTATAGATCTATAAAAACACGCTTGGTGTTTTATCGTGTATATATGTAATGATATATTATGTGAAATTAAGAACTGTTGTATCAATGGTAATTTTCTAAATTTTTCTTGAAAGTCAGAAAGTAGGATAAATAGTGACTTCACTTCGTTTTATTGTACAGTGAAACCTCGATAACTCAAATTTCTAAATATATTCTCTATAATATGAAAACTTCTGTAAGATGAAAATTTTCTCCATTTTCTTTCATTTTGGTAATATGTTTCAATTAATTCGAATTATTTTTAGTGTTTTATATGTTTAATATTTTACTTTTACAACTCACAGTCGATGAATACAATCGTAATAATTACACCGCAGATTTTTATGCAAATTCATATTTTCAAGAACATAATTAAGAAAAGAGAATCTCTAAAGAGCTAAAGAAATTTTTTCTATATATTTTTTCTATGTCAGGTATTATAGAAAGCATTATACTTTCGATATTTTATACATTTTTTTAAATCATACGTATTTGCGCGATTTTGCATTTTCAAATTTACCAAAAATGCATAAAAATTCTAGCAATGATTATTAGCAGTTTAGTAATAATATTATAACCGTGTGATGATTAAACTATTTCATCAATAAGTGACTTCAATAACAAAAGAATATTTGTATGCTTTTAAATTGGTTAGTTTTCAAGCCCTTTCTCTCGTTTTTTACATCTTTTCCTCCGAATTATAAATTTTAACAATATTCTTTGCAGACTCTTTTATTAAATAACATGAGTTCTACTCGGAAATTTATTTCTTCGCAAACCGAAAACTTGACAAGCGCCTTTAAATTGAATTTTCGTTCGTTAAACTCAATGGAGAACTTTGAGATTAATTATTGAGATTCGACTGTATAATAACGAAGCTTTCATTTGTGCCTTAGTCATCAACAAAATCACCCCCCCATTTACCGTAAACCTTTATCAATTTCCATCCCCAAAGCCGTCTACTGTCACCCCGCTCAATATTCCAACCACCAACTATCCAAACCACCCCTGAAACCCTATTCCCTGTGCAATTTCGCAAACCTGTCAGAATTCCAGCAATTAAATCACATCCCAATAACGCAGTTGAAGGTCACGATCAAACCAACTATCCTACTGCTCACGAATATTGTCTGATCAGAGTAATTTCAGACGCTATTCCCAATCCTTCGTGAATGCATATTTTAATTTTCTGGAGGTGTAACGAGACATATAAAAAATGTATGTTTGTCGATTTGATACACGAAATGAAGGAGGAAGGGAGTGAAAAATTTATTTATATAATATTACAAACAATTGTTGACAAGACTATGAGGATGGAATACTCGCTGTTAAAAATTTAACACATTCGCTACCATCAAGGAAAAAATCGTGTTTCCATAATCCAGATATCAAATTTATCATAAATTTGTATAATGCAAATATATATTTTTATATATGTACTGTTACAATATATGCAAAAACTTGTACGCTTATAGGAAATTTTAAAACGAAATTGCCACACGTACAAAGTGTCATATTAAGTGTATCAAAGCAACTTTCTTGAAAGTGAAGCTTCCATATGAAAAAAATTCCACATTGTTTTTATTTACTTTTTAATTGGGACAATCCACTGTTAATTATTCATCTCTGTCTACCCTAGAATTAGCTAAATTCAAATAGACAAAATTAGATAAATTTTCAACTCGATTTTCTCGAAAACGAAGACCTCAGTGAAAAAAAAAATTGTAGAACTTTTGGAATCATTTCTTTTCCTAAACCTATCGTATAAATATTTCTGCGCAATCTTGCTCAAACGAAGAAATCTCAAGAGTTTCGAAAAATTAATTCTCTCTGAATTTTCAATTTATTAGAAAATTCATTGCACAGAATGCCATCGTTCCGAGCGAGAAGCAGACACCGCGGATGCCCCCGAGTTTCGTAGGTAAAGCGTAGTCTAGTAGGCAATAACATTAATCCAGGACAACGAGGCGACCGGAAAGGTCGCCTGCTCGCGGTCGACGAAGAGGAATCCCCAGTGGTCGAGTCGCTGGATGGATTCTGGTATAAAGCAACAACGTCCCGTGGAATGGATCCGGAGACTCGACAGCCCCTGGTCACGGGCTGTCTTGGCTCTGTCGTGGTCTGTCCCTAGACGGGATGCGGTCGGGACCCGGGCCATCCTTCCCCCGGCGCCAGTGTAATTTTAATAAGCCATATTACGAGCTCGTAGCTACGGAAACGGCTTCCTTTTGTGTCTGTCTCGCCAAGTCTCTGGCATAATTCGTACTTTGGTTAAACGCGTTCCTCCCTCTTAACGGTGGTTAGATTTTCCAAAGACTTTTTTTTTATTTTTTCTCTTTCTTTTTTTTTTGCGAGTGACGTGTTTGTTGATTTCTTTTCA